CAGAATTTCTATTTGGGTCTTTGAAAAATGTTTTCTCAGGGCACCTGGGTGGATCAGTCAGTTAAGTGTCCGACTTGGCTCAGGTCATGATCCCCTGGTTAGTGGGTTGGAGCCCCACGTCTGGTTCTGTGCTGGCAGCTCAGAGCCTGGAGTCTGTTTCAGATTCTGTGTCTCCCTCTCTCTCTGCTGCTCCCCCACTCACGCTCTGCCTCTCTCTGTCTCAAAAATAAATAAACTATTAAAAAAAATAATAATAAATAAATAAAAGTGTTTTCTCCCTTCATAGTCTTTGTTTAGTAAAACACTATTCTTATATTTCCCTTTAACTTATTAGACAGGAGTTCGTTGGGGTTTCTCAATCATATTTTATTTATTTTTAAAAACTTTTTTTAACATTTATTTTTAAGAGAGAGGGATACAGAGTGAGTGGGGAAGGGGCAGAGAGAGAGGGAGACACAGAATCTGAAGCAGTCTCTGTGCTATCAGCACAGAGCCCAACATGGGGTTCGAACTCATGAACCGTGATTTCATGACCTGAGCTGAAGCTGGATGCTCAACCGACTGAGCCACCAAGGCACTGCATCTTGATATTTTAAATCTCTGTCTGGTGTACCCAATGTCTGGGCCCCTCAGAGACAGCTTCTGCTGAATGCTCCCCTCTGCATGTATGCCATGTATTCATGATTCTTTGAATATCCAAGAATTTCAGTTTGAAAACAGGACATTTTTGTGGTTTTTTTATGTTTATTTAATTTTGAGAGACACAGAGCACAAGCAGGCGAGGGGTACAGAGAATCTGAAGGAGATTCCCAACATGGGGCTCGAACCCACTACTGTGAGATCATGACCTGAGCTGAAGTTAGAGGCTCAACTAACTGAGCCACCCAGGTGCCCCTAAAACCAGACATTTTCAATAACACAGTAGAGCGGCACTGGAAATCAGGCCCTCTGCCCAGCAGCCTTTGTGGCCCACACTCTGGTTGGTGCTGCTGTTGCTGTTTGTTTAGTGGTATTCTTGCCTGATGTGGGGAGGCCTGTTTCTGTGCGGGGCGTAGACACCGAGTTTCTGTTCAGTTACTTTTGCACAGAGATTAAATGCCTGGAACCACTGAATCTTCCAGTGTTTGTGGAAAGATTTGGGGGCTGGGGGTGGGGCTGTGGGAGACACACCTTCAATTCTCTAGCAATTTACAAGTCTGTCCTGGTTTTCACTTCCTCCTCATGCAGGGCTTCAAGGTCAGCCTGAAGTGAGAAATATTTTACTAACATATTTATTCACATTAAAATGTATAATCCCCATAGGATGTCCTAAAAGGGGGGGGGGGAGGATGTCCTGAGAGAGATGCTAAGCTAATATGTGAAAATATTAAATAAATAAATGGAAATGACTCACGGGTGAATGAGTATAAGGAAGATCCGAGGCCCCAAGAGGAAACGCCTCTGTCCCTCCATATCTGCCCTGAGGGTGAGCCTTATGCTCAGTGGGTCCTGAGTGCCCAGTGCAGCCCAGCATCCACCTGGCCACCTTGCAGAGGTCTGTCCCTGGAACTGCAGCTCAGGAAGGCTGGACAGCATTTTCTGACTCCAGAATGACATAAGTCACCTAACCCACTGCCACCCCTTCCCTGGGACCAGCAGACCCAGTACCAGTAGGAGCTGCTGGTTGTGATGGAGCGTTCTGAGGCAGGAAGGTGGCAGACAGGGTCTGTAAGGCTTTCATCAGCCTGGGCTAGTTTCCACCAGTTTCATGCAAATCAACCATTTTGGAAATACCTGAGATGCTCACAGGCAGCAGTAACCACCAGACAGGTAAAGTTGATGATTTCTTGAACAAGGTCCATGATTCCTAGAGAGCTCTGCCTACAGTGTGGAAATTCTCACCAGATTCTGAAATCTAACCTAAGGATAAAGAACCCCAGGTATACAGCAGGGAAGGGTCAGGGTGGCCTCAGTCTCTGTCTCAGAATCTGGGGAGAGCAAGCACGGCCCTCCCCAGGGCAGCCCTCCCTTCCATGGGCCCAGGAGTCTGCAGCCACAGCCCAGTGTAGTGGTCAGACCTCAGGGAAATGCCCCTGATAAACTCCTGGGGAGCAAGATGTCCAGCGTGGCAGCATGAGCTGGCACACTTCCCAGGGACACTGGTGATAATTATGTAAAATAACCAGGTAAAATCTCTGGAAATGGCCCCAAAGACAAGCAGCAAGAAGAAACATAGAAGAAACATCTATGAAAATTTAGAGAGAAAGGTAAGCCCACGCCATAGGAACCAAGATTACTCCCTCCCTCTCCTTCCTCTCCCCACCAGCTCCTCAAGGTGCAGACTCCTCTCCATACTGGAGTGGCCAGACCTGGGGCCCCTCTGTCCTGCACTCAGCCAGAGGGCTTTATCCTGGGAGGAGCAGGGGGAGGACTTCGTCGTTTCTCACCCGCCCAGCTGCCTGCTGCTGAGTCCTAACTGAGCAAGTGGGAGGCTGGTGCCCCTTCCTCTGCCCAGCTCCCAGCTGTGGAACAGAGGCTCTTCCTGGGGCTTGAAGCACAGAAAACATGAGGACACTGACTGTCCTTGCTTTGGGTCATGAGATCAAGGGTCTCCATGCCTGGAGAGGCAAGCTGCTTTCCGCTCCACTGGGCGCGCAGCTCGGGGGGGGGGGGGGGGGGTGGTCCCTCAGATAGAGGCTTGCCTTTGTCCCCACCTGCAGCTCCAGAGAACTCTCAAAAGTCATTGCTGGAGAAGAAAAGCAGGTCATAAAACAGAGAGTTCCTAATCTTTCTCCAAAAACTGGCTTCATCTGGATTAGAGCACGAAGTTCAAGCCTAAGGGCACTCGAAAAAACAGAGGAGGCTGCAGTGACTGACAACTGAGGAGACATTCAGGGACTCAGTGAAGATTCAATCTCAGCTGTAGACTGGCTGATATGCAGGAATGAACTCTCTGGAATTGGAAATAATATCAAACATTGACATCAGAAACTATTCCTTCAAAGGAGCCAGAATTTTATTGGATTAATGTATAGAGCAATTTATACAACAAGATATGGTTGAAACAATAGCAAGATCAATGAGCAGTTAGGGGAGTTTAGCTGGGTGCCGTCAGGAAGTCTCTGCCAACACATGAGTACACAGGGTGACTGGGCCATGCCCAGCTCTACACCTCGCTGAGCCGGGGACGGGGGTGGGGTGTGGGGGTGGGCAGTAGGTGCGTGTGAATAAAATAACCTAAATAGATGCTAAACATTAAACAAGCAAATAGCAATCACAAGCCCTAGCGGGGAGGGGCTAGTACCCAGGGTATTGCTACAACATATTACCTGAACTGTACTCTTTCCAACAGACACTTATCAGGCAAGCAAAGAAACATGAAAATATGCCCCGTTCCCCAGAAAGAAAGCAGCCAGCAGGGATTTTGTGTCACAGAATCAAATGTTGGCTTTAACAGGAAAATACTCAAAACAGCCCTTATAAATATGATCACAGAGCTAAAGGAAAGATGCTTAAAGAAGCAAAGAAAGGTGCGAGGCAATATTATACAAAATGGAGAATACCAAAAAAAGGTATAAATTATTTTTTTTTAATATGGAAAATCAGTAGTAGCTGAAAAGGGCAATAACTGAAATTTAAGAATCCGACACAAACAGACGTCTGGTCTGTTGTGACGTAAAGAGCCTGGAGGTTCTCACTCTCACTTCACAACAGGAAATAAGACGCGGAAACTGAAAACCAAGATCTAGCCTTGGCTGTCTCAGAGAACACAGCCACAGGCCCCAAACTGGAAGCACAGGTGAGAAGAGGGGCTCACTTACCAGAACCCCAAAGGTACTGACTCCTGTGGGAGTGAGGACCCAGTCGAGGGAGTAAAACTCCTTCAGCTCCAGGGGGCTGAGAAAACCACATTCTCAGAGTGAAGAACACAGAAAAGCCCCTTACACTTCTGGCAGGGAAGAGAATGTGAACGTTTTGAAATATGCCTGGAGTAGTCTGTGCTCCTTAGCAAAGACCTGGCCTCAAGCAGAGCCTAACCAACGTGGGGAAGGGAAATGCCCAGCCATGCCCTGTTGCCTTCCTTCCTACCTACGTGGGAAAAGAAAGGTCACAGGCAGGGGCAGCTCCTGAAAGACTGAGACCTGGTCACAGGGGGATAGAATGCCTCTCCCACAGCAAGTATGGGTGCCCCGGTGGGGCCAGAGGCTGGAGCTGAGCACTGGGAAGCCTTGTCTGGAATGTACACAGACGGGAAGGCTTATACCTGCAGCTGTGAAATAGAATGGTGCAGCGACAGGGAACACACTATGGCAGTTCTTCAGATAATGAAACATAGAATCCACTACTAGGCACTGAATGAATGAAATACTCATTATTAATAGTAGCCAAATAGTGGAGATAGTTTAAATGTCCAGCAAGTTGCTATTGGATGCAAAATGTGGTATATCCATATGACAGAGTATTATTTGGCCATCAGAAGGAAAGGAGTATTGATAGATGGTAACACAAAATCATGCTTCAAAACATTATCTGAAATAAAAGAAGCCACTCACAGAAGAAAACACATTACAGAATGCCACACACATGACGTGCCAGATGAGGAAAATCAAGAGAGAAGCCAAAGAGATCAGTGAACGCCAGGAACTGGGAAAGGAGGAAATCGGGAAGGACTAAATGATCCATACGGGATTCAGTTTTTGCGTTGCAAAAATGTTCTGTCATTAAACATTAGTAATGGTTGCATATCAAGAATGTAGAAAAAGCCACTAAATGATATGCCATAAAATGGATAAAGCAGCAAATTGTGTTATGAATTTTACATGAATAAAAAAACCAAGTAATATAAAATACAAGTTACATAAATTATAGGAACAGAAATTAAAGATTAGGCAATCACAGCCCTTCGTACATCCTGCTCTAGTGGAACCTGACACTCAGTAGTGGGTCCATCACCCTAGTGACAACCAGTTCAACCACATGCAAAACAGGAAATAGAAACTTTGAGAAATTAGATGTACCCTAGAGTAGGAGGGACCCTAAGCACCTATCAGCATCCAGAGCACACCTGCTCGCTCTCTGCATCAGGAATTCATTTCCCAACGCTTCTTCATCTGGGACAGCTGCCTTTTTGAAAGCTGGAGATGATAAAGGAGAATAAGGTGGACATCCTGGAGGTGCCCCAGAGATCAGCTCCCATGGCGACCACTGTGATCAACATCCAGCCGGAGACGTTCGTGCCCGACCACATTGTCTGGTCCCTGTTCAACACGATCTTCATGAACTGGTGCTGCCTGGGCTTCGTGGCATTTGCCTACTCCGTGAAGGTGTGTGGGGGCGGGGAGGGGGGATTCTCCCAGAAAGCCCAGAAAGTGCAGGTGAGCCTGTGGAGGGACACCTGCCCAGAGGGCACTTGGGGTGTGGGGAGCCCCTGTGTGTGTGTGTGTGTGTGTCTGTGTGTGTCTGTGTGTGTGTGGCTAGTGTAACCATTCCCAGGGGGAACAAAGAGTGAGGCCACATGGGAGTGCATGGGAAGGGAAGGGTCAGCCTATGACCCCACCATCCCAAAGAAGTTCTCCTTCCCAGAAAAATTAGGGAAATAACATCCTCCACACTCTGGACTCAGACCTCAAGTCTGGTCCAGAGTGGACACAACGTACTCAAAGGCTGTTCCGCCCTGATGGGGCGTGAGGCCAGTGAAGAGGCCGTGCAGAAGGGCAGGCCCCGGGGTCTGCAGGAGAGGCTGAGAGCCTGAAGAAGGAGCTGGAGGCCCCTAGAGGGAGAGGACCCAAGGGGCCCTGTCCTGCTCAGGCTCCAGGGAATGGGGAGGGTGGGTCCCCGACCTGGGTGAAGGGCCTGTGGACGGGGACCAGCCTGGCTCTCACCAGGACCCGCGCCTGATCCCACTCTCCATCTCTTCTCCCCAGTCTAGGGACCGGAAGATGGTCGGTGACATGATTGGGGCCCAGACTTATGCCTCTACCGCCAAGTGCCTGAACATCTGGGCCCTGGTCTTGGGCCTCCTTCTGACCACTGGATTCATTGTTCTTCTGGTGTTTGCCTCCCTGACGGCCTCCAGTATCATTTTAAGGGTTATGCAGACGAACGGGGGCTACCACTAGCTGCTCAGGGCAGGAGACGCCAGTCCTCCACCGTCCCCTGCTGGCCGGGCTTCCCATGCTTCCCGGGCTGTTGGTCCCGTCCCTCAGCACCCAGCCCTTCACCCTGTTATAGAGATTACCTGACCACAACTGAATGCAATAAAATACACTTGTGTGTGACGGTGCAGTGATGTCCCGTGGGTGGGGGGTACTGCTGAGAGTCGCTAGCCTGCCCCTGAGACTGAACCCACCTCGCCCCTTGCCCAGCTATGCATCCCTGGGGTGGGGGCAGGCCCAGTCCTCGGGCTGTGCTGGTTTCTGGCCTCCTGCTGGGAACAACATCTGGACCAGGGTCGTGGGATAGGAGACCCTGGCCCAAGGAGGTCCCGTGTACAGAGCACCCCTGGTCCTGAGGGTGAGGCTCCCTGACTCCCAGGTGTGTGGAAGCAGCGGGGCTGGGGTGAATGGGCAGCTCAGGCCCTCTGGGAAGGCCACGGGGTTCTGTATCTGTGGATGCCATTGCCAGAGCCCTGGCCCTCCCAGCACCTCCTGGGAGATCTAGACGTTGCTGCATCCTGCACCCTGCCTCCTGCAGACCCCCAATTCCGTCCTTGCGCCTCTGGGGATGCGGGTGGGGACAGCCCGTGGCCCAGGGGAGGGCCAGAGCTCTCCACCGTGGGCTGACTGCAGAAGCCAATGATCAGACCTGGTGAGGAAGCCTGGATGGACAGGAAGCCTGAGAGGAAGGACTCACTCCCTCAACCCAAACTGAAGTGGCCCTGCCGGGAGCAGCGGCTGCCCAGTGCCCCAGGAAGGGTCTCCCAGCCACTGGGGGCCCTCAGGCATTGGTGTGAGCTTTTGCCAGAGCCCAGCCACTCCTGGGGACCAGAGGGCCATCCTCAGCCCCTGCAGGAGGAGCTGCCCCAGGCAGGCACTCCTGTCCCAGGCCCCAGAGGGAGTGGGTGGGGTCACACTCTGGTGGCCAAGCCACCATGCCCTGCACAGCCACCCTGGAGAGGCTGGCGAGTCCCGGTGGCCACAGGCAGGTGTCAGGGAGGGAGCCCCTTGTCTGCCTGCGCCTTGCCCTTTGGGACGTCGAGGCTCGCCTGGGTTCCTGCAGTGGGTCCAGGTCAGTCCCGGCCACTCTGCTCCCGTGAAGTCTGCAGCTCTTCACGCTAGGTTCCCGGTTCAGTCCCGGCAGGAGGTCCACACCCCTCATGTCAACCCGTGCAGCGCTTCGCCCCGGACTGAACTCTGGTTGGGGATGCCCTGAGTGGACCGTGAAGCGCATGGGGTGCCCCGGCTCCCCAGGGGTCCACCCGTGTGAGCAGCAGCTGGGCAGCCCCAGGGAGGTGGGTCGTGGAGAGGGGACGCTGGTGGATTCACCCCAGCGGGTCCGGGAAGGACTTGCTCCTGGCCGCCCAGGGGCCAGCCGGGGTCGGGGAAGGGCGTCGCAGCATGCCCCAGTCCCCCAGGTCCAGGCCCGATGGGCCTTGTGGGTCTCACATTCCCAAAGAGGACAGCTCTCATGTCGGACGTTCATAATGGGCATAACCCTGCCTGAGCTGGGGTGGCTTGGGTTAGGCTGCTGCTAGGCAGGCGACTGTCTCTTGTAGCGGACAAACACTCCTGATTCCAGCTTTTGCAAAGCACAGGTGAGGGCCGAGGCATCATGCAGGCGCAAGTGCAGCTCACTTGAAGGCCCTGGGTGGTGACCGACGGCTTGTGGGGGCCCAGCGCTGAACTGCCTAGGTCCTCAGAGCCCCCCCCCCCAGATCTGGTACTGTTCTGGCCAAGGCTTCCTGGGTCTCCTGGAGGTGGGCGGTGGGTGGTGTTGGGTGGGGGATGGACAGGGGTAGGTGGGGGAGTGTAGGCGGGGCCGGCCTGTGGGGGAGGGGCAGATGGGCGGGGCCGCTCGGAAAGGAGGCATCCTAAGTTTTTCCAAAGAGCACTGGGAGGGAATTTTCTTTCTGGCCTTGCGTGGAGTGATCCCAGGAGGCAGATGAAGGGCAGAACTCCTGAGATGACTGGGTTAGGTCCCGAGGTGGGGGCCAGGGTAGGGAGGACATACGTGATCCCGGAAGCTCCTGGCCCTGAAACCCTGGGTCCCTTGCTGGAGGAACCAGGCATGTGGACAGTGAGGCCTTCCAGAAGGCTTGGGTCTGGTGTGGGAGAATGAAGGTAACCCCTGATGGGTTTGATTTTTTTTTTCTCCCTCCCTCCCTCCCTCTCTCCCTCCCTTCCTTCCTTCCTTCTTCCTGCCTCCTTTTCTCCCTTCTATGTAATAATGCAAATGTCTGACTTAATCATTTATTCCAGAGCCCCCATTTGGAAGATGGCTGTCTCCAGTGAACACACTGAGAGCACAATGACACATAAAGTGCATGGCCACCTGCGACAGGTCTTGGTTGGTTTTGATAACTATCTGGGCCATTTGTCTTCTCTTTTCCTGTGCTTTAACTTCCTGCTGTTGTTTTAGGGGCTCACATGCACTCTCTCCCTCTCCCTCTTCCCTTTCCCCTCTAACTCCCCTCTCCCTCCAATCTCCCCCCACCAATCTGGTTTTGTGGCCACACCTGTGCTGTGTAATTTCCAGGTCTAGTATTTTAAAAGTTTTTCAGAGTTTCCTGGTAGTTGTAGCTGAAGGGCTTCTTGCAATCCTAGGAACCACCAGGGCGGGTCCGGGCACAACACTAGTTGTTAATAAGCTGAGGCGGAACAAAACCTATAAAGAGGAGGGAGCCCCAGGCTGAGGGAAAGTCTCCAGGGCCCACCCACACCCCTAAACAGGGAAGTGGGGTAGCTGGCCAGGCCTGACTTGAATGCCACGACAGGAAGCTCCCCCTACCTCCTCAGCCTCCAGCCCTGCCCTGGTGTAACCTGACACTCAGTCCGCTGGTCCACCCTCTTGGTACTCGGCCACTTTTGAAAAGCTAGGAAATAGAAACTTTGGAGAAATCGAAACTATCGGGGAAGGGGGCCCCAGAGCACTCTCCAGCATCCGGACCACAGCTGCTCTGACTCAGATGGTGAACTGCAAAACTCTTGCCCCTCCCTTAACTACCTAGAGGAACCTAAATTGGAGATGTTTCACAGAACGTGAGTGTTCACCTAGATAAATGTTATCTGAGTGACACCACTGTATGGCAGGGCAAACATGTAATTACCAAACGTCTACTCTCATTGCCCCATAAATTGCCCTTCTCCTCCTGAAGCCCGAGGCCCCTATCCCATTCCCATGCTCTAGATGGCATACATTTCTGTGTTTGAGCCTTTCGTGAATGTGGCGTTTTACGCATACAAAATTTAATTTAATTTTCTCCTGTTAATGGTTCTCATGTCAACTTAATTCTTATTAGCCAGAATAGTAGAGGATATTTTTCTGTGCTGATACTGCATGTTTGCGCCACAGGACCCTCTACCTTCTCAAAGTGTGCCAGGAGAGGGAATGACGCGAGCTCTGGCACAAAGTGCCTCTTTGACCTGGGACGTTCCTCTCCATCCTCTAATGCATTGTTGGTGGGCCCCTCAAAGCTCTGATTTGCTGATCTTAACCCTGCTCGTGTGGGCAGGTCTGCTACCAGGTCACCTGCTGGTCCGTGACCCCACCCGGCTGGACCCACCACAAAAGTTCTTACGCAGAAGGCCAGTGATGCCAAAATGGTGGTCAGAGGGAGGAAGGTGGGGGATGGGCAAAATGAGTGAAGGAAGGTGGGAGGTAAAGGCTTCCACTTATGGAATGAACGAGACACTAGAATGAGAAGCACAGCATAGAGAATATGGTCAATGACATTGTCATATGTTGTATGGTGACAGATGGCAGCTACACTTGTGGTGAGCCCAGCATAATGTACAGAAGTAAAGACTTGTGGAATCACTATCTTGTGCACTTGAAACCAGTGTTAACATAGTGTGTCAACTCTACTTCAATTTTTAAAAAATCAATCACTATAATACTCCATATTAAAAGAATGAAGAAGGGGGAGCCTGGGTGGCACAGTCGGTTAAGCATCCGACTTTGGCTCAGGTCATGATCTCACAGTTCGTGGGTTCGAGCCCCGCATCGGGCTCAGTGCTGACAGCTAGCTCAGAGTCTGGAGCCTGTATTTGGATTCTGTATCTCCTTCTCTCTGACCCTCCCCTGATATACTCTCTCTCTCTCAAAAATAAATAAAACATTAAAAAAAATTTTTTAAAGAATGAAGAAAAACACCATGTGATCATCTCAGTTCCTGCAAAAAAAATATGGAAAACATCCAACAACCTTTCATGATAAACACACACACACACACACACACACACACACAACTAGAAATAGGAGGGAAATTCCTCAGCCTGATAAAGGACATCTATGGACAACACACAGCTGACATGACACCCCATGATGAAAGACTGAAAGCTTTCCCCCTAAGATCCAGAAGAAGGTGATGATGTGTGCTCACTCCATGTACATACAGCATTGGACTAAAGCTTCCAATCAGGACAACAAGGCAAGAAAATGAAAAGTGAGGGCATCCAGATCGGAAAGGAGAAAGTAAAACTATCCCTACATGGAGATAACATGACCTTGTAATAGAAAATCTTAACAAAATCACTAAAAAATGGTAGAGACTAGCAACATTGCAGGTGACAAATCAACACAGGCAAATCACCAGCAACGAGCAATCCTATGATAGAGCCGAGAAAACAATTCCATTTACGATATTATCGTGACCATAAGACGCTTGGTAAGAAATTTAACCACAGACGTGCAAGACTTGTGTGCTGGAAGCTACAGAACATTGCCGAAAGGAATTAAACAGGTATAAATAAACGAAAGCCAACCCGTGTGCACACCCTTGACCTCTTGATATGGTTAGGATGGCAATACTGCCCAAATTTGTCTACAGTTTCGATGTAATCACCATCAAAATTCCCACTGTGTTCTTTTTTTTTTTCCCCTTTCAGAAATGGACAAGCGGATCCTAAAATTCACATAGAGTCATCAGGCCGAAACAATCTGGAAAAATCAGAACAAAGTTGGAGGCCTACACTTCATCATTTCAAAACTTCAGAACTAGCTGTGGTAATCCAGACAGCGTGGCGCCGGCGTGAGGACAGACACACAGACCAACAGAATAGAGTTTAGAGTCCGGTAATAAACCTATATTTTATGGTCAACTGATTTTCAACAAGGGAGCCGATACCTTTCCAAAATGGCGCTGGACTAGACAACTGATAGCCACACGGGAAGGAATGAAGCCGGACCTTCATCTTACAAACTATACAACCATTAACTCAAAATGTTTCAAAGACCCGATACAAGAGCTAAAACTACAAAACGGTTCGACAGAAATAGAAGTGTAAATTCTTATGACCTTGGATTAGGCAACGGGCTTCTTAAATATGAGACTAGCAACAAACGAAAACAGATGAGTCGCAGGTCGGCGAATTAAAACGTTTGTGCCTCAGAGGACACTCTCAGGCAAGTGAAAAGGCAACCAGCAAGATAGGGGAGAATCCTCGCATTCCCGTATCCGACAAGGGACTGGTGTTCAGAATATCAAAGAACTGTTACAATTCAACCACGAGGAGATGAACAGCCCGATGAGTAAAAGGACAAAGGCTTGAGCAGACGTGCTGCAGGCCCACGAACGACCGCGGAGCAGATGAGAAGCGTGCTCGCGGCAGCACTCACCAAGGACCCGCGCCACAGGACACAGGACACAGGACACAGCACTGACAATCAGTGGAACAGCTCTAACTGGTCTACGGTAAACCCAAATGTTGGTGAGAATAAGGAGAAATGGAAGCTGTCGTACATGCTGGTGGAAACAGTCTGGCAGCTCCTCAGAACGTTCTGATGTGACTCAGTCCTTCCACGCCTGGGAATGCACTGAAGGGCAGTAAAAACATGTTCACACAAAAACCTGCACACAAGGGTTTCCAACAGCATTATTCATAAGAGCCAGAAAAAAGAAAAATGTCCGTAAATTGATGACTGGAAAAGCAAATATGTGATAACCCTTAGAATACAATATCCGTCACCCATCAAAGGGGAGGTAGTTCTGATTCGTGCTGCAATACGGATGAGGCCTGAAAGCATGAGCCCAGTGAGGTAAGGCAGACAAGAAGGCCAAATCCTGGAGGCTTGCACGTACACGGAATGCGTGACAGAAGGGAAACCCAACCACACGAAAAGCAGAGAGGCCCTTCCAGGAAATAGGGTTCAGCAGATGCGGGCACTTCTTCACGGGCACCTGGTTTCGTTCGCCATGGGGAAAACACGCAGGGTCACGGGGTTGTGAGAGCTGCGCCCACCAGGAAATATGAAAAGCCACGTGAACTGTGCCCTCTCCGTGGGTAAAATGGCAAACTTTTGTGTTATGCAAATTTTACCTGATTAAAAACTTAAATCATATTTCCTCTAAATTAAAGAAAAGAGAGTAAATGGGGCTGTCAGTTAGGCGTCCGACTTCGGCTCAGGTCATGATCTCCTGGTTCGTGGGTTCGAGCCCGGTGTCGGACTCTGTGCTAACAAGTCAGAGCCTGGAGCCTGCCCCTCTCTCTCTGCCTCTCACTTGCTCACTCTGTGTCTCTCTCTCAAAAATAAACAAACATTAAACAAATTAAATAAATGAGAGTAAAACTAATGATTATGCAAAACATCCCTTGGCAATGACATCAGCACATTTTACCTTTGTGCATGTGAGGGGGCGTCTTCAGCAGCCACACGGTGGAAAGGGTCACCCGGGTGAGCTACTGCCCCAAGCAGGGGCAGCCTGTCGGTGGCTCCAAATGACACGCGGTGGGGGTGGCACCCACAGACACTGCTGAGTGCAGCACATCAGGACTCGGCGGGGGGGGCACCCACGGGGGCCTGCAGGCAAATGTCCCAGCCCCTCCCTGACCTCACCCCACACGGACCCCACTTGGCACCCCAAATGTCACCCCACACGGACCCCACACTGCCCCTACGTGGACCCCACACCGTGAAGGCCAGGACTGCAGGTGCCAAGAGAACTACTTGACCCTTTACTCTTAGAAAGAGCAGTGTCCTAGCGACTCAGCTGACCTGAGCCTGTCCTGAGAAGGGGGCACAGGCCTGACAGTGGAGGCAGAATGACCAGACTGCCTACGGTGACCCCCAGACAACACCTATGTGACTTGATTGGGCCAGGGTGGAGGGACGCAATGTGGGGCCCTCAGATGAGCCAGCCCTGTGCTCCAAGCAGCTGCCAAATGGCCGGGATGCTCCTGTCTCCCGCCACAGCTGGCTCCTGGTTCCCAGGGACCCTTGGGAGATGCTGTTGGCTCCCTTCCAGGGCAGGCGACACAGGCTGCTGGGTCCTGACCTGCAAGCAGCAAACACCCACTCCCCTCCCTGGAACACGGACTTCAGATCCAGGAAAGGTCAACAGAATCCAGAGAGGAGGCCTGTGACGGCTGAGGTGTGGGCTTCGGGCACTTGGGGGGCTCTCTCTGGGGGCTGGAGGCCTGCAGCAGGCTTGGGTCTGGGGTGAGGGGAGGGTGGGGAGACTCACATCTGAGGAAGAGTCCCCAGGGCCCACACATGCCCTTGACTGAGGCCTGTGTAGGAGAGCTGAGACAGGATCTGGCCTGGGGGCCTGGGACAGGAAGCCCTCCTGAGACCACAGCCCTTCCTCCCGCCCCACCCCGCCCTGGTGTAACCTGACACCCTGTACTTGGTCACGCCCTCCTAGCGCCCAGCCATTTCCCAATTCCCCAAATACCATTAAAAGGAATCTTTGGAGAAATCGAAACTACCCGAAAGGGAGAGCCCAAATCACCCTCCAGCATCGGGACCACAGCTGCTCTCTCTCTCACCATGAACCGCAATTCCCAGCCCTTCTTTCCTGGCACCCACACTGGTGTCCCCCCTAGTTATGAGATGCTCAAGGAGGAGCACGAGGTGGCTGTACTCGGGACACCCCAGAGCTCAGCTCCGGTGACAACCACCGTGATCAATATCCGCAGTGAGACGTCTGTGCCCGATCATGTCGTCTGGTCCCTGTTCAACACGATCTTCATGAACTGGTGCTGCCTGGGCTTCGTGGCATTTGCCTACTCTGTGAAGGTGGGTGTGTGTGGGGGGGTGGGTGGGGGATTCTCCCAGAAAGTGCAAGTGAGCCTGTGGAGGTCCGCCTGCCCAGAGGGCACGTGGGGTGGGCTTGGGGAGTTTGTGTGTGTAGCATCGAGGCTGCAGGAGGGGCCTGGAGATGAGCAGGAGCGCCTTTGTCCCCACGATTCCAAGGACATCCCTCAGACTGAGATGTGGCTCCAAGGCTCTGCCAGAAAGAACAAAGGAACTCACAGGAAGCTGTGTCTCACTGGGGAGAGGGTGTCGCTGGACCTAAGCAGAGAGAGGGGCCCCGGGGTCTGCAGGAGAGGCTGAGAGCCTGAAGAAGGAGCTGGAGGCCCCTAGAGGGAGAGGACCCAAGGGGCCCTGTCCTGCTCAGGCTCCAGGGAATGGGGAGGGTGGGTCCCCGACCTGGGTGAAGGGCCTGTGGACGGGGACCAGCCTGGCTCTCACCAGGACCCGCGCCTGATCCCACTCTCCATCTCTTCTCCCCAGTCTAGGGACCGGAAGATGGTCGGTGACATGATTGGGGCCCAGACTTATGCCTCTACCGCCAAGTGCCTGAACATCTGGGCCCTGGTCTTGGGCCTCCTTCTGACCATTACGTTCATCATTCTTTGCGCCACTGGCTCGCTGGTGGTTTTCCAAGCAATTTCAGAGATGGTAAACCGTTACTGAGGGTACTAGTAGCCACCCATGGCCTGAGGCTGTCACTTCTGTCGCGGCATTTGGTGTACACGGCAATCTACAACTGAATTCAATAAAGCACGTGTGTGTGAGGGTGCTGTGTTGGTACCTGGGGAGGGCCCCGCTGAGACTGTCCAGCCTGCCCTGTGCCCGTGTCCCCCCTGCCCACCTACACCCTGCTCTGTGTCCTGTGTGTGGTGGGCAGCACGTCCTCCGGCCTTTCGTGTGTCTGGCTTCAGTCTTGGGACTACTAACGGACAATAGATGTTGTAGGGTTCCTCCTTCCCAGAGGTCTGAGCCCTGAACAAATGGGTTCATTTGTGGAAAGGTGGCACTGAGTCCAGAATGTTCTCAGCTTCCAGGAATCCACTGGCTGGGGAAAGTTGCAGGGCACCTGACCCAGGGAGTCCACAGTCCACCTCTGCAGCCCACGCTGGCCCTGCCCTTGCCCTGACTGAAGTCAGCTCCCTTACCTCGTCTGTCATGACCCCACGTTGTGGGCACTGTGCATGACCCAGTGCTGACCCAGCCCACACCAGCTGGACAGGCGAGGTGGGACTGGGGCAGTGACAGCCTCCCCTTTCCTCCCCTGACACCCCGGCCCAGCTGGGGCTCACCCACACCTCTGTCCCTGCTCCCAGCCAAGTGCCCTAACTCAGAGATGCACTAGGTGGGTTGGGGTACTCTGGGTGGAGAGGGGCACGCTGGTGGATCTGCCCCTCCGGGGTGGGGAGGGACTTGTTCTGGGTCGGCAAGGGGCAGGCCCCAAATCCCACCCAAAGGGCAGGGCAGCTCTGACCTTCCTGGACCCGCAGTGTGCCTGGAAAGGGACCCAAAGCCTTGGCCAGGAGCCACCCGGACCCTCTTGTGCCAGGAGCATGTCTGCCCTCCCTACCCTAATCCACCCTCAGGACCGAACCCGGGCATCTCAGGAGTCCTGCCCATCCATCTTCCTCCTGGGACCATTACAATCAAAGCCCGAAGAGAATATTCCTCTCCAGCGCCCTTTGGAGAAGCTTGGGATGCTTCCCGCCTGAGCGGCCCCGCCCACCCCCCCACCCCCACAGGCCCCAATGCCATCCTCACATCCCACCTGCCAGCACCACCCAGCCTGGGGTAGGGGCCCTCAAGTAGCTGTCTTGGCACCTGCAGTCCTGGCCTGCATGCAGTGGGGTGCCGTGTGGGGTGCCGTGGGCGTTCCGTGTGGGTTCCGTGCGGGGTGCCGTGTGGGTTCCGTGTGGGGCTCCGTGTGGGGTGCCGTGTGCGTTCCATGTGGGGTCCGTGTGGGGTGCCGTGTGGGTGCCGTGGGGGGTGCCGTGGGCGTTCCGTGTGGGTTCCGTGTGGGGCTCCGTGTGAGGTGCCATGTGGGGTCCGTGTGGGGTGCCCTGTGGGTTCCGTGTGGGGTGCCATGTGAGGTCCGTGTGGGGTGAGGTCAGGGAGGGGCTGGGACATTTGCCTGCAGGCCCCCGTGGGTGCCCCCCCCAAGTCCTGATGTGCTGCACTCAGCAGTGTCTGTGGGTGCCACCCCCACCGCACGTCATTTGGAGCCACCGACAGGCTGCCCCTGCTTGAGGCAGTAGCTCACCCGGGTGACCCTTTCCACGGTGTAGCTGCTGAAGACGTCCCCTCACGTGCACAGAGGTAAAATGTCCTGATGTCACTGCCAAGGGATGTGTTTTAAGAATGATGGCTTTTGTGTTACGTAATCTATGTGATTGATGGATTACAGGATTTAATTTTAGTCGTGGGCCTGCTCAGATGGACTCACTATTTCCCTGGAGGTGGATCAACTCTCCGACAGGACGTCTCTCAGTTTATCGAGCCTGGATTTTATCCTGAAGGTAACATGTAATCTGTGTGCCCAGTTGTGTGGCTACATCAGCAGGCCTTCATCCCAGTCCCTGATCCCACCCTCCACTCTGTCTCCCGCCAACCTGCAGTGCTGGGACACACTCTCTGTGTCCACTCTATGAGCGTCCACTTCTCCCCACACTAGTAGGGTGGCCAGTGCCAGCTTGTAGCTGTGCTCCAAGGAGCCATTCCCTTCCCGTGGATCTTCAGGACGCCCTTGAGTGAGGGGGTATATAGAGCAATAGACTCCAGGACACCCTTGAGTGAGGGGTATATAGAGCATTAGACTCCAGGACACCCTTGAGGAGGGGTATATAGAGCATTAGACTCCAGGACACCCTTGAGGAGGGGTATATAGAGCATTAGACTCCAGGACACCCTTGAGTGAGGGGTATATAGAGCATTAGACTGCAGGACACCCTTGAGTGAGGGGTATATAGAGCATTAGACTCCAGGACACCCTTGAGTGAGGGGGTATATAGAGCATTAGACTCCAGGACACCCTTGAGTGGCATGGGTGCAAGTCCCACCTCTGTCCAGATTTCTGCCTCACACCGAGCTGCCCCCTGGAGAACCAGGCTGGGAAATCTTCCTTTTCCATCGTCTGGTCCCAAGGGGTTCTCCCTGCAGCCCTGGTGAGAGCAGAGGGACAGGTGTGGACAGCAGTGGTGGATGACGCGGCTAGCGCAAACTGCCTGTTTGATCTGGAACATTCCACCTCCATCCTCTCACACATCAGTGCTGACTTGGTGGGTCCGGTACAGCCCTGCCCATGGTCGGCAGGTCTGCCACCTGGTGGCCCATGTCCGTCCTTAGAGATAGGATAGGACAGATTTTGGCAGATCACTGTCCACACACCCCAGCCCTGAGGATGACTGGGTCCACATCTGGCACAGCAGCTGCACGCGGGGCTCCCACTGGGTTGTCGGCAGCACTCCACTGTCTCTGCCAGGGTCCATCTGGGTCTGGGGGTCAGACTGGTGAATGAAATGGGGCTCTGGTGGGCACCAGCACCCTTGCGCCTGTGAGGGTTCAGGGTGGCGCTGAGTCCTGCTACTCTTCCCGGGATGAGGCACTGTTCTTTACTTCTCCCTCGGCTGGGGGTGGGGGTGGGGAGTGGGGAGCAATTGCAGACATCTCCACCTGGCTGCCCACGGCACAACGGCTCTTAACCCTGAGGGCCGCTGACCCAGTGTGAGGATGAGCCAACCACCAGTCATTTCTTTTCCCGTTACTTGTCTCAGGAGGCTCCAGGGCCCCCTGAGAGTTTGATTTCGGGTCTGGAGCCCCACGATTCCTTGGACGCGATGTGCCCAACCTGAAAAAGGGGCCAGGATGAGGCTTTGCCTGTGGAGATATTTACCTGGGCCCTGAGTCCAACATTTTCGAAGCTGTACGATTCTAGTGTCTTCAGGGTCCAGGACAAAGAGTCTGTCATGCGCTGTGTGCAGACGTTGGAGACGCGCTTCTGCCCCAGTCTCTCGGGCGCTCATCCTTCCCCTGTGGGTTCCACACTCTTTCGGGACCGGAATTTTTTTCTGAGACCAGGTCACAGTGCAGGCTCAGGGTCCTGGTTTCCCATCCCTGCCTCCTTGGCTGGAAGAGGCTGAGGAACATCACTTGCCTGTCCTTCCCTTCTGCCTCTCGGGACGCAAGAGAACGGTGTGACCAAGTGCTGCGGTGGCTGTTGGCAGTTATTGCACCCACCTGGCCTCCACATCCTGCCATCATTGCTCTGTTCCCCTGTCGGCGTGTCGCACCGTCCACCCTGGGGCAGAGCAGGTGACCGTCCTGAGCACTGAGTGGCATGGCTGGCCCTCGCCCTCCGTCTGTGAGCGGGGTGTCCTGCCTGGCAGAGCCCGATGGTGATGGCTTCTCCAGCTTCACCTGCTCTACCCTGGGTTTGGATGGAACCCTTGGTAGGAAGGTGGGTACCAGGAATCTAGTGAGGAGGCTCCAGGGAACATGAGTGTGAAGCCTCTTTAGGTTGGGGGAGAAGCAGGAGAGCTCTGAGGGGCGAGGCAAGGGGCTCAAGATGAGAATGTGCAGAGTTGGCCAGGTCCCCCCACTGCGAGTCCGGAAGGCTGAGACTCCTGTCCGGCTGGGCAGGGGTCTGGGACACACGGAGGCGACGCCCTTCCCCGACCCCGGCTGGCCCCTGGGCGGCCAGGAGCAAGTCCTTCCCGGACCCGCTGGGGTGAATCCACCAGCGTCCCCTCTCCACGACCCACCTCCCTGGGGCTGCCCAGCTGCTGCTCACACGGGTGGACCCCTGGGGAGCCGGGGCACCCCATGCGCTTCACGGTCCACTCAGGGCATCCCCAACCAGAGTTCAGTCCGGGGCGAAGCGCTGCACGGGTTGACATGAGGGGTGTGGACCTCCTGCCGGGACTGAACCGGGAACCTAGCGTGAAGAGCTGCAGACTTCACGGGAGCAGAGTGGCCGGGACTGACCTGGACCCACTGCAGGAACCCAGGCGAGCCTCGACGTCCCAAAGGGCAAGGCGCAGGCAGACAAGGGGCTCCCTCCCTGACACCTGCCTGTGGCCACCGGGACTCGCCAGCCTCTCCAGGGTGGCTGTGCAGGGCATGGTGGCTTGGCCACCAGAGTGTGACCCCACCCACTCCCTCTGGGGCCTGGGACAGGAGTGCCTGCCTGGGGCAGCTCCTCCTGCAGGGGCTGAGGATGGCCCTCTGGTCCCCAGGAGTGGCTGGGCTCTGGCAAAAGCTCACACCAATGCCTGAGGGCCCCCAGTGGCTGGGAGACCCTTCCTGGGGCACTGGGCAGCCGCTGCTCCCGGCAGGGCCACTTCAGTTTGGGTTGAGGGAGTGAGTCCTTCCTCTCAGGCTTCCTGTCCATCCAGGCTTCCTCACCAGGTCTGATCATTGGCTTCTGCAGTCAGCCCACGGTGGAGAGCTCTGGCCCTCCCCTGGGCCACGGGCTGTCCCCACCCGCATCCCCAGAGGCGCAAGGACGGAATTGGGGGTCTGCAGGAGGCAGGGTGCAGGATGCAGCAACGTCTAGATCTCCCAGGAGGTGCTGGGAGGGCCAGGGCTCTGGCAATGGCATCCACAGATACAGAACCCCGTGGCCTTCCCAGAGGATAGGCCCTGCCCCCCACCCCAGGGATGCATAGCTGGGCAAGGGGCGAGGTGGGTTCAGTCTCAGGGGCAGGCCAGCAACACTCAGCAGTACCCCCCACCCACGAAACATCACTGCACCGTCACACACAAGTGTATTTTATTGCATTCAGTTGTGGTCAGGTAATCTCTATAACAGGGTGAAGGGCTGGGTGCTGAGGGATGGACCCAAGAGCCCAAGAAACATGGCCAGCAGTGGATGGTGAGGACATGGTCCTTGGCCACATGCATCTAGTCGTAGCCTCTTTGTTCCCTCTTATTCTATTATATGTATAGTGAAATAGTCAGTAAGCCAGCGAGTTTCAGAATGATGAACGTAATAGTCAGAAGGAGGCCCAAGACCAGGGCCCAGATGTTCAGGCACTTGGCGGTAGAGGCATAACTCTGGGCCCCAATCATGTCACCGACCATCTTCCGGTCCCTAGACTGGGGAGAAGAGATGGAGAGTGGGATCAGGCGCGGGTCCTGGCGAGAGCCAGGCTGGTCCCCGTCCACAGGCCCTTCACCCAGGTCGGGGACCCACCCTCCCCATTCCCTGGAGCCTGAGCAGGACAGGGCCCCTTGGGTCCTCTCCCTCTAGGGGCCTCCAGCTCCTTCTTCAGGCTCTCAGCCTCTCCTGCAGACCCCGGGGCCTGCCCTTCTGCACGGCCTCTTCACTGGCCTCACGTCCCATCAGGGCGGAACAGCCTTTGAGTACGTTGTGTCCACTCTGGACCAGACTTGAGGTCTAATAATTTCCCTAATTATTCTGGGAAGGAGAACTTCTTTGGGATGGTGGGGACATAGGCTGACCCTGCCCTTTCCATGCACTCCCATGTGGCCTTACCCTTTGCTCCCCCTGGGAATGGTTACACTAGCCACACACACACACACACACACACGCTCGCGCGCACACATGGACTCTCCACACCTCAAGTGCCCTCTGGGTAGGTGTCCCTCCACAGGCTCACCTGCACTCTCTGGGAGAATCCCCCCCCACACACACACACACCTTCACGGAGTAGGCAAATGCCACGAAGCCCAGGCAGCACCAGTTCATGTAGATCGTGTTGAACAGGGACCAGATGATGTGGTCGGGCAGGGACGTCTCAGGCTGGATGTTGATCACGGTGGTCCCCATGGGAGCTGAGCCTTGGGGCGCCGCCATCACAGAAAGATCATGCTCTTCCTTGATCATGTTGAAGAGGGCCAGTTGTGCTATTGGGATGCCAGAGCCTGGACCTTTTGTGGGGTGAGGCCTGGATGTGGGTGGTCCCTGCTCAAGCTCAGCCCCATATCAGAGTCCCCTCCTCCTGTCTCAATTTGGCACTTCTGTTTTCTCAGAAGTTTCTTATGCCCGGTGTTTTGTAACTGGGCGACTTGGCTGGGCAGTAGGGAGGTGGACCAAGTACAGGGTGTCAGGTTACACCAGGGCGGGGTGGGGCGGGAGGAAGGGCTGTGGTCTCAGGAGGGCTTCCTGTCCCAGGCCCCCAGGCCAGATCCTGTCTCAGCTCTCCTACACAGGCCTCAGTCAAGGGCATGTGTGGGCCCTGGGGACTCTTCCTCAGATGTGAGTCTCCCCACCCTCCCCTCACCCCAGTCCCAAGCCTGCTGCAGGCCTCCAGCCCCCAGAGAGAGCCCCCCAAGTGCCCGAAGCCCACACCTCAGCCGTCACAGGCCTCCTCTCTGGATTCTGTTGACCTTTCCTGGATCTGAAGTCCGTGTTCCAGGGAGGGGAGTGGGTGTTTGCTGCTTGCAGGTCAGGACCCAGCAGCCTGTGTCGCCTGCCCTGGAAGGGAGCCTTCAGCATCTCCCAAGGGTCCCTGGGAACCAGGAGCCAGCTGTGGCGGGAGACAGGAGCATCCCGGCCATTTGGCAGCTGCTTGGAGCACAGGGCTGGCTCATCTGAGGGCCCCACATTGCCTCCCTCCTCCCTTCCCCTATCATGTCACCTAACGCCCAGGATCTTAAGGGGAAGGGTGGGGAGGGGGTACCTTGATGGCTTAGTCAGTTAAGTATCTGACTTCAGCTCAGGTCATGATCTCACTGTTGGTGGGTTCAAGCCCTGCATTGGGCTCTGTGCTGATGGTTTGGAGCCTGGATCCTGCTTCGGATACTGTGTCTCCCTTCCTCTCCTCCCCTCTCCCCACTTTCTCTCTTTTTCTCAAAAAAAAAAAAAGTTTTTTAAATATTAAATAAATAAGTAAGTACAAGGGGAAGGGTGGGGAGAACACAGAAACAGAGCCGGCTCCCCAGGATGCTTGCCCCACTCCTGGTCCTTCCTGAACTTGTACTCTTTCCTCTTCTGCCTCAATCCACCCCCACGGAAAGATGGGGTCATCAGAGAAAGAGAAATGTTGTCCCTGCGGTAAAGCAGTTGCTGTAATTCCACTGCTATTACCACCACACTGTCCCTTCTGCACACAAGAAGCAATGCCGACAGAGGCCTCGCCCCCTCTCCAGTCCTCGCTCAATGTCAGTCACCCACCAGTCCCCCTACTCTGCTGGTTGTGGCCTCAGGTCAGGTCCGTCCCCTTTCTCCCCTGAACTTTCCAAGCACCCCCCAGTGCCTCTTCCCTGTCCTGTTGTGTGACCAGGCAGTAACCTCTTTGACATCAACTGTAGCAACCTCTTTCTAGAGATGTCTCCTGAGACAAGGAAAACAAAAAACAAAAATAAACTATTGGGACTTCTTCAAGATAAAAAGCTTCTGCACGACAAAGGAAACAATCAGCAAAACTAAAATGCAGCCTACAGAATGGGAGAAGATATTTGCAAATGACTTGTCTGATAAAAGGTTGGTAACCAAAACCTATAAAGAACTTAATCAAACTCAACACCCAAAAGACAAATAATTCAGTGAAGAGATGGGTAGAGGATCTGAATTGGCATCTCTCCAAAGGAAACATACAGATGCCAACAGACACATGAAAACATGCTCAACATCACTCAGCATCAGGGAAATACAAATCAAAACCATGACGAGATAGCACCTCACACCTGTCAGAATGGCTAAAATGAACAACTCAGGCAACAGCAGATGCTGGTGAGGATGTGGAGAAAGGGGAACCCTCTTGCACTGTTGCTGGAATCCAAACTGGTGCAGCCACTCTGGAGGACAGTATGGAGGTTCCTCAAAAAGTAAAAAAAAAAAAAAAAAAAAAAAAAATAGAACTACCCTATGATGCAGCAATTGTACTACTAGGTATTTATCCAAAGTTTACAAAACTACTAACTCAAAGGGATATGTGCTCTGCCCACCTCGCCTCCCCATGTTTACAGCATTATTGACAATAGCCAAATATGGAAAGAGCCCATATATCTATCCACTGAGAATGAGTAAAGAAGATGTGGTGTCTATACAATGGAATATTACTCAGCCATAAAAAATGAAGCTTTGCTATTTGCAGTGACATGGATGGAACTAGAGTATTACTCTAAGTGAAATAAATCAGTCAGACAAAGACAAATGCCATATGATTTCACTCAGATGTAGAATTTAAGATACAAAACAAATGAGCAAAGGGAAAAGAGAGAGAGAGGCAAACCAAGAAACAGTCTCTTAAATGGTCACCAGAGGGGAGGTGGGGGGATGGGTTAAATGGGTGATGGGATCATCGAGGGCGCTCGTGATGAGCACCGGGTGACGTATGAAAGTGTTGAATCACTAAATTGTGCACCTGAAACTAATATTAAACTGTATGTTAACTAGTTGGAATTTAAATAAAAACTTTAAAACACAAAACAGGTTTTGTGGCCTACACCCTACCACGCTCATGCCATGGACGGTGTGTCGGATGTAGGTTAGAGGACGTGGTCCTGTCCAGGTGCAGCGTTAAGGACCTGGCAAGGTGGCATCGGGCCAGGTACCAAGAGGAGGCCGTTCGGAGGAGACTCACTCCTCCCTGCGCTGGTGCATCTCGGCCTTTCACAAATGGGCCAGAGTCTCTCTCTGTGTCTGACTCTGGCACTGGGCAGAGAGGTCGCACGGCTGCCCATCTGTCCCTCAGTCCCGGAAGCTCCTCATCAGATTAACTTGGAAGGTTCTTCACAACCAGATGTTCTCTTCCTACTTAAAGTCTTGGGGATTTTGGAAGACTTTTTCTAATGAATTTCCTGAACAGATAAGCAGAAAGAAATAACAAATCAGTAACGGAAAAATTACCTTTCTAACTGCACAGGAAAATAAGACCTATTTCTGTAAACCTACTCAAGTGAATGCTCTATCAAACCAGATGTCTCAAATGTCTGGGACGGAGGAGGAGGTCTCTGCCTCTTTGTGAAGCTCACACTCTGGAACTTCACGAATTAGCATTTAAGGGAAAAGGTCTCTTGCTGGCCAAACAAGTAGGGAATAAATAGAGTTTCACTTCACAAAGAAGTAAGGAGCAGATAGCATTCCGCCTCCACAAAAGCAGTCTGAAATACTCTCCTTAAGTAGGCTCCTTGTCTCCCTGGAGGTGCGGAGTTGAGAAGAAGGTATCACCCAAAGGCCACAGCCCCGTCCATCCCCAGCCCAGTCTGCGGTGGCTGCGGTGGAGGCTGTGCAAGCAGTGCCTTTGAAGCTGCAGTTGTGCAGTGCGCCTCAGGGGCAGCTGGGCAGCCAGAGCTTGGAGACGAGGCCCAGATAAGCACAGAAGATTGGGGCCAACATGAGAGAAGACCTGGAGCCCAGGGCAGAGGGGGGAAAGTGTTCCTTAATGAGTTTCGGGGTGGAGGGCTCTGTTCTCTTGCACACCCACACACCCAGCACTGAAGCCTGGGGGTACTGGCGTATGGCCCTCCAGAGCACCCCTCTCTCCTCTGAAACCTGCCAGTTCCTTGGAATTCCATCAGATCAACTCTGCAGTGGTCGTCCGTGCCATTCACCAAGATGGCTGCTTTCTTCGCGGTCCACGACAGTAGGAAAGCCCTTCCCCAACCCTCCACCCCCACCTCCCGACTCGCTGCTGCCAGTGAAACAGGGTTGTAAGTGAAAGGGTGTGTCTTCCAGGCAAGAGGGATGGTGTCTGGTTCACCCCACTCCCCGTGGCGCTCAGGAAGCATGTGCTGGGCAGCTCCACCCTGATCCCTGCGGATCATGGACCCGCTGGCAGTGCAGCCCCACATTTGAGGGGTAGCGCGAGCAGGAAACAAATCTTTCTATGAAGTCACCGAGATTTGGGATTGTTTGATACTGCATCACCACCTAGCTCACCGGGCTTAAACAGGGACATGCTGCCATCATGAAAAACTTTGAAAACGTGGCATTGGCCTCCTGCAACAAAGAAACTGTTCTTGGTGCTGGATCTTAAGAGTGACCCGTGTAAAGCAATGTGCAGCTTCACTGGGCCACAGGGCCCAGACGTCAGCCGTTGCCCTGAGGGTGCTGTGAGTGTATTTCTGGATGCAATTAACATGTGAATCAATGGACTGAGTGAAGGGGGGGCAGTGGGGGGGGGCACTCATCCAATGTGTTGGGGCCTGAATAGAACGTGGATAAGGGAGAATTCACTCTGCCTGCCTGTCTCTGAGCTAGGACTTCTGTCTTCTCCTGCCCTGGGACTCAGACTCAGGCCAGAGGACACACTGGCTCCCGCAGGCCTCCAGCTGACAGACGGTCAGACTTCCTAACCACGTGAGCCAACTCCTTGTACTCTGTCTCTTTCTGTACGGGTGCTCGCTGACTCTGTTTCTCTGGGGAACCCAGACTGACGCAAGCAGTGAGGAAAACAGATGGTGTGATGCCCACCTCGTGCTGTTTGGAGGAAGGACTGCAACATAATGATTTATAAGAAATAGATATTTGGTCATCACATGGCCAGATATATTTCTCAGGTACACCTGGTCTTCAGGCACAACTCCCGAGAAAAGGGGACACGGGGCCTTGTTATGAGTGAAGGTGACTTCTAGACCCACCCACGGGCGGGAGGGTTGGACATTTCCTTCCCCCCAGAAGTTGAATCAGCAACAGCCAATGATGTGGTCAATCATGACTATATAACAAAGCCTTCATAAAAACCCAAGAGGAGAGTTTTCTGGTCCTTTTTTTTTTTTTTTCCAGGGATCTTCCACACTTGGGGGACCAGAACGCTCCCACGTGCCACCAAGCCCACGGCGTGCAGAGGCTCCTCTGTGGGAGACCTCGCCCTACATGCCTCCTCATTTGGCTGTTGATCCGTGTCCTCGGTCACACCCTTTAACACACTGATAACCAAAGGAAGTGTTTCCCTGAGCTCTGTGAGTCCTTTAGTAAAGTAAAAGAACGTGGGGCGAGGGTTGAGCCTCCAGCCTGTGATGGTCCATCAGGGTCTCTGGTGACAGCCTGGGGCTTGTGACTGGCATCTGAAATGGGGCTGGACTGAGCCCTTGACTGTGGGATCTGACACTGCCACTGGGCAGTGAGACAGAGA